GTTTCATTTTTATTTAATGGTTAGTAGTTTTTGTTTTTGCCTTTGTGTTATATTTTGAGGTATTAATTATAGGGTGGTTAGGTTTGTTCATCTATAGGTGTGTGTGTGTATATATATTTATATGCACATGCATATAGGTGGGTATGTTTAATATTTGTTCATTTATTAATAATTTTTTTAAAGTTTATATTATATTTATTTCATTTATTTATTTACTTATTATATTTTATTAATTTGTTTATTTTTAATTAGTGCTTAGATAGCAAAATAAGTATTTATATGCCTACATTTACCTATTATTTCAGTTTTCTTGTTTAAGAGTTTATTTTGGTTTTTAAAACTAGTTAATTCTAATTTTTTCCTCTAAGCATAATTTACAATTTTTACTGTTAATATTGTATGAGGCTGCTCTTTTTATAATTTTTTATTTGATTTTGGTGGGGATATTGTTTTCTTTTTGGCTCCATATGTGTTTTGATAGAGTTGTATTGTTTGTGTATATTTTTTTTTTTTTTTCAAAGGACATTTTGTGGTTATGATGTCTTTCTTTAAAAATGTTTTCTGTGGCACTTACGTGAATTTTTACATCTATCTGTGTTACTGTTATTAATTATGATAGCTTTGTGTATTACGTTATTGGTTAAACATTTATTAATGTTATTTTTGTTTTGTTTTTTTTATCACTAAGTTAGTCTACAACTTGATTGAAAATTCTCAGCCCCCACTACATAATTGTTTTTCTCTCTTCAAGGTGCTTATGTCAACCGGGCACATATGGTTCTCCGCGATCACAGATCCATTGTGAATCAAGTAAGATTCAATCCAAGCAATCACTTAATTATATCTTCAGGTGTGGAAAAGGTTGTCAAGGTATGCAATCCCTTTTGTTGCTTTTCATATTACACTGAGGGATTATGGGTTTTTTTTTTCACAGGATCACTTTCACTCTATCTTCCCTTCCAACAAGATAAATTGTTACTTTAGACAAGATAAATGATAGCAAGATCAAGTAAAGGGAAGTTAACTTTCATGCCTCATGATCATTAATCAGTAGTTGCTAACCAAAACATGGAACTATTTTTGAGGCTTCAAATCTTTGGTTGATCAAAAAGTGTTTTCCTCTTTTCCTTTTGTTTATCTTTATTTTATTTTGCCATATTTTTATTTATTTTATTCCCCCCTCCCGTTTTTTTAAATTTTATTCTTAAAAATCTTTTTTTTTCCTGTTTTTTTTTTTTTTTTTTTTTTTTTTTTTTAGCTGTTTCTATTTTTCTTTGTTTCATGCAATAAATTCTGCTCAGTATTTGTCTAAATATTTTCTAAACTCTAATTTGTTTTTCTTTCAGATCTGGAGTCCGTTTCCCATTCCGAATTCCCGGGGTTGCCTAAAAAAGAGTCACAAATTGACCCAACATGAACGCCCTGTATATACTCACGAAGAATATATCAACCTGGTGTTGCGGAGTGGTCATATTATGTCTCATGACTACACACACCAGTCGACAGAAGAGGATCCTCGAATGATGGCCTTTTTTGATTCATTGGTACAGCGAGAATTGGAAGGCTGGAGCTCTGATGAGGAGTACTCGACCAACGATGATGATTTCTATGAGAGAATGACACAGGCCCAGGCTGAACTCCGTGAAATTGCCTCGCAACCAAGTTCTGATGATGAAGAAGGCACATTCAGTCCATTTACTATTGCATTTGCCAGTGTCATGAGTGCTCGTGAGGCTGACAATTCTCAAAATCGCATTCGGACTGCTCGAAATACCTTGTTACAAAATAGTAGTAGTACAAGCAATGCTACTACTACTGCCGCTGCTACTTCTAATACTACTACTACTACTATTACTACTACCGCCGCTACTACTACTACTACTACTGCTACTACTACAGCCGCCACTAGTAAGACCACTACTACGGCCATTACCAGTAACGGTAATAGTAGCAACAGTACCTTAGCTACTGTTCTGACAAATTCAACTTCTGCCACAGTCACCTCTTCGCCGAGTGCTACTCTGTTAGCTGTCCCTCTTGATGCAGATATAACCCTCCAAGGACCACAGTGGTCATCTGCATCTAGCCATGACGTGCCGATGATGGAGGGCCAACAACCGAATAGTAATCGGAAGAGTATTTCACAATTGATTGCACAGAAAAGAAAAGAGAGCACAAGTATGCTGGTTGCAGAAGGGGGCCATGTAACCAACGTAAAGAAACGCATATGTCCCTGGAACCCCTCCAGCTCAGATTCTGATGATGACGTAAGCTATCAACCTAGAGTACGGGTCAAGCTTAAAAAAGTGGCCAACCAGGCATCGACTTCCCAGTCTGCGGCCACAGCCACAACCACTTCCACTTTCTCCTCCGCCTCCTCCTCGCTGCTCTCAAGGACATCAACGGCCAACTCGTCCGAGGTGAGAACTTCCCGGGGTATTTCAGACAGCAGCCAGAAGCAGAAAGCGCTTTCTGATCTGAAGAAATGGAAGGAGCTCCGGTGTCAGATCAGTTCCACAGACTATAGAGTAGGTGAAAAGAAGCTGACACCACAAACAATATCCTCTTCCTCTCCCTCTTCCTCCTCCACCTCCTCTTCAGCAATGCTCTTATCTTCATCATCTTCATCCTTATTGAGTCCTCAGACTGGGGCCGTGACTGTTGAAAGTGGACCCACTAGTTCAGGCATTAAGGTTCAATCTGCAAACGTTCATGCGTCCGAAAGCAGAACACACAAAGACGAACCCGAGCTTGGCCCCTACCTGCACAAGATAGACTCTATGCTTTTACCTTCGAATATTGGAGATACTACAAGCAATAACAGTGAAAACAGTTGTAATTCTGTAAATAAAATCCCAATGTCTATTTCTGGACAGAATAATAATAATAATAATAATGGTACTAGTGAAAGTAACAACCCCGTTAGTGGACACTCAAAAGTTTCACACTCTCAACCTGTTAGTGGCACCATAAGTGAAGAATACACAAGAGTGCATAATCATAATGAGACCAACAACAACAACAACAACAACGCCACAATTACATCCCAAAGTACTACTGTGACACCAGGACTTGGTAACAGTTTGACAAGTAACTCTGCTCCTCCAACCAGCAGCAGTCGAAACAGTTCAAGCAGTGAGCCAGTGTGGACAGAGTTCAAACGCTTTAAGCATCGGCTAGAACGTGCCCGGTGTCACTATCGACAACGCAGTCAGTCTGAACAGCAGTCAAGCGATGAAGACACAACTTGATATTTGTTTACTTTTTTTGAAACATTTCTTTTTTTAAACCCTGTCCCATATATATATATATATATATATATATATATATATATATATATATATACACACACAAATCAGGGTATAGGGCGGCTTTATTGGTGAACACAAAAAAAGTCCATAATTTGGTTTATTTCAATCTTTTTTACTGTCTCCCCATATCCCTTTTTATTTGATTTTTTTTTCCTTTTGTCCATAGTTTTTTTCCTCCCAGCACTTTTTAAAAATATGTCCTTTTTCCTTTCTCTTTTCCCTTAATGTGAGATAAATGTACAGTCATGTCTATTATATGTGTGTGTGTGTGTGTGAATAAGTTTTAGAAAAGTTGCTATCAAGTTGGAATAACTTGTCATGGTTTCAAATACAATCTAATATTTCGTTCTCTTGATGGTATTGGTATAGAATGCATCAGTCTTCAAGTTTCTTTTAGACATACTTTTCTCATCTATCAGGTTTAGCAATTGTTGACTTTGCATTTTATAAGATAATAAGATATATTGCTGTGTGAATTTAGACAAGAGTCAGTTGAGCCAAGATGCTGTGTGAATTTGAAAAAGAGTTGAGCCAAGATGCTGTGTGAATTTGGACAAGTCAGTTGAACAAAAATGATAAATATACCACTGATGTTCAGTTTTATTTTGTAATGATTAACTGAAGATCCTAATCTCACCACTTGCAACTACCTTGATGGCTTATAGGATGCATTTTTCTCTTCAAACTGTGAAGATAAAAAAAACGATCCTGCATTTTTTATAGCGATTTTGTAGCCTTTATGGCTTTAGACAACTAATCTTTGAGGGAGACTTCTTTGTGTCTATATGTTTCATAGGTCATCAGTTACAGTATTTGATATAGCCTTGACAGTTATTAATGTTGCAGACATTTGAAATGTTTAAGCTGTTTTGAAAATAGCTGTATTTTTTTTTTTTTTTTTTTTTTTTTCAAAAGGTCTTTTCAAAGAGCCTAGAACGTTGTAAGGTTTTGATGAAAGTGGAATTATTAAAAAGAATTATATGGAAACAATATCTATCGCCGTCAAAATGAATTCTACAAATTTTATTTTCCTCAGAAGTAAAGTCTTTCTGAGAATTATTTGCTTTTCTCTTATTTTTCCCAACTTTTAATTTTGATCTTGAGTTGAAGAGAAACATGATAAAAAAATAAATGATAACAAATATAATGTTAAATGAATTAACAGAGAGTTTACTCAAATATGGTTATCCACTAAAATAATGTTTAGGTAATAAAATGTGTCCGATTAATAAATAAAAAAAATATCTTCCTTACAAATTGCTTTGTTTACATTAGGATACAAAACTAAACAAATATGAATGTTTGGCAACTCTAAGAAAGCTTTCCTTGATCATTGATGCACTCTGTGGCCCACACGCTCTAAATCATGTTGGATCTAAAAACAGTTTCTCCTGATATATATATATATATATATATATATACACACACGCACCATGGCCAGACATTTGTCCAACAGACATTTCACCAAAAAAGTACAAGTAAAAATAGCAACAAGCAATACTTTAAGTATTCTAATTAGCAGTTTTATACAGTAGAATAGGACTAATAATTACCAATGAATTTCAAGTAATTAAATTACTAAATCTAAATTTTAAGTTAAGTTTTCTTATTTCAATATTTGTTTATTGAAGTTGTATTTTAAAAAATATTTGAGTGTATTTGGGTAAAAAGTAGCACCTAATTATTTAAATTCATATTTAACAGTAAGATAAAAGCTAGTTCATCCCTTTAAGATAATGATCATTAAAAGCAAAATTGAAAGATCTTTCATATCGTAAAAGCTTAAGATTTTTGCTGTAGTGAAATGTGCTTTTTCTCAAAATACTTATCATCTTACAGTAATATTTGAAGTAAAATATAATATATACAGAATAGAGTTTTAAAAAAAGCCTGTCAAAAATAAAAAAAAAATTTATAAATTAATACAGTAAATAAATATTTGAAGTACATTGCGATAAAGAGTGTGACATAAATGTAAGTACGCCACTACATTTTCGGTTAAATGTCCATCAGCCAAATGCCTGAGTACCTATATACACATAAATTTTGCCAGTCTAAGAGATGACTTACATGGATATTTGGAGGTCTACTTCTCATTACAATTCTTTCAGTCCCCTTCCCGATAACTTTCCTTTTTAGAACTTCAGTAAATAACCTCCTAAACATAATACCTGCACACTAGTCCCAGTGAAATATTTACATAGTTTTTTTTATTTTTTAAATTTAAATACATGTCATATATACCAGTAAATATGGTGTGCGTGCGTGTGTGTGTGCATATTTATTTACACGCATTTTTTTATTATTATATGTGTTACATTTAGTGGATGTGGATACACGTCTTTGAGTATACTTCTGGTCCTTAAACAGTGTAATTGTCATCTACAGGCTCAGACTTTCCTTTTTAATGTATATATTTATAAGAAATGATACCGAATTATAAATAAGCAGGACCCATCAATTCCTTACGAATTACTTTGTTTATTTTCATATATATATATATATATATATATATATATATATATATATATGTGTGTGTGTGTGTGATCACCCTTTTGTATTTATGCAAATTTCACAAAATTTTTGTACTTTTTTTGGGGGGGGTTCACAGGCAGCAACTTAGTTGGCTGTTCTAATGTTATAAGCATTCTACAGGCGAATATATCGCAATGCCTTGTCTAGACTATTTATTTAAGTGTAGATAGGATATCATGGTGGTTTGAACAGGTGAAATTCTTATTTGCATTTATATTTAAAAACTAAATAAATTACCACATATTGAAAGTAAAATTTATTAGGTTTTTAGGAATAAAAGTACATTAGAAATTTGAATTTACACACACAGACACAAATGCCTTTTCTCTAAGTAATTCAACAAGATATTTTAGTTTCTAAAATTTGAAGATCTTAAAAGCTACAAAAAAATAGAAGGAATTGGACAAAAGAAATTACAATCACCTTAAATGGTAAAACAAATTATAAACAAGTGATCAAAAAATTACAAATTCTTTCCTCTTAATTTTGTACATTATTTTTTCTCAATTGAGCTCTGAGGTGAAAGGAACAGAAACAGTTGTTTGTTATATTTATTTTTTATATAACTTTTTTATTTCGATTGAATTTCTATTCATTTGAACAACAAACATTTATTATAATATTAATAGCTAGAAATACCTATGAAAATTTAATGGATTTCCTATCTGAATTTTCTGATGAATCTTAATTCTTAAGTTAATGATTAAATATACTCTTTGCAAGTTTTATGACTATAAAATATTTCAAAATTCTTCTATAACATCGTTAAATATTTGAGCTTAACAAATTTAACAAAGTTTCCAAGTAACAATCTTTATTATGAATGTAGGTCATTATTTAAAGAAGTAAGAGGGTACAAATGAAAAGATTTGAAATAGACAAGTTTTTTTCCATTTCACTGTATCGGACATTAAACACACGAGAATCTTTTATTTGTTTCTTCTATTCTTTCCTTCCTTTCTTTCTTTCCCTTCCTTTTTCTTTTCTTTTTTCCTTTCTTTTCTTTTTTCCTTTCCTTTCTTTTCTTTTTTCCTTTCTTTTCTTTTTCTTTTTTTCCTTTCTTTTTTCTTTCCTTTCTTTTTTCTTTCCTTTCTTTTTTCTTTCCTTTCTTTTTTCTTTCCTTTTTCTTTTCTTTTCCTTTTTCTTTTCTTTCCTTTTTCTTTTCTTTCCTTTTTCTTTTCTTTTCCTTTTTCTTTTCCTTTTTCTTTTCTTTTCCTTTTTCTTTTCCTTTTCCTTTTCTTTTCCTTTTTCCTTTTCTTTTCCTTTTTCTTTTCTTTTCCTTTTTCCTTTTCTTTTCCTTTTTCTTTTCTTTTCCTTTTTCTTTTCCTTTTTCCTTTTCTTTTCCTTTTTCCTTTTCTTTTCCTTTTTCTTTTCTTTTCCTTTTTCTTTTCTTTTCTTTTTTTTTTCCTTTTCTTTTCTTTTCCTTTTCTTTTCTTTTCCTTTTTTTTTCTTTTTTATTTCTTTTCCTTTTCTTTTCTTTTCCTTTTTTTTTCCTTTTTCCTTTTTTTTTTTCCTTTTCAAAACAAAAATAAAATTTTTCTTTTTCTTTTTCCTTTTCTTTTCCTTTTTCCTTTTCTTTTCCTTTTTCCTTTCCTTTTTCTTTTTCTTTTCTTTTCCTTTTTCTTTTCTTTTCTTCTTTCTTTTTTCTCACTAAAACCAAACAGCCTCTCTGAGATGTCTTTTCCACCTTTCCTCTCAATCAAATCGAAATAGTTCATTATTTATGAGGTACTGGCAGGGTTTAACATATATGCTAACTAAGAAACGGAGAAACAAGCAGACTTATAATACAATAATGACTCTTCTGGTCATCAATAAATAATATTAAAATCAAATAAGAGTTACACAAATTTTTCTATCAGATGAAATGAAATTGTGATAAGAATAATAGAAATCCTGGAACAAGCAATCTCACTACTATGGCCTTTAAAATATTGTGATGGATTAACAAATATACTGAAAACAGTAAAATCTCACTCAAGAAATCAGTTGTTATTTTGCTCTCAATTCATATGGTTCCTTTTATTATGCAATTTTTATTATCTTGGTGGAGGTTAAATTGTGTCAGTATGAAATAAATAAAATGGATGTCTTCAACAAAAATTGATGTGCAAAACTGTTAAGATTTGATAATTACTATTTGTTTGGTAATCAGAATTATTTTCTGTTATATTTGCACGTTGAGAATTCTGCTATTTGCCGCCTTAAACATATAGTAAAATTAATTTTTTTGTTTTACAAGCACATATTCTTATATTACTACTCATTTCAGTTGTTCCTGGCTTTGGAGCCTTTAGTGCTCAGTACGTCATCTATAATAATGGAAGAATGTTATGTTTAGAGACTTTCTTGAGAACACAAAGTGTATCCTACAACATGGCAAATAAAAAAGTGTGTGAATGAGAGAAGAATTTGAATTAAGGAACTTTCATTTAAATGGCTTCCTGAAAGAAAAACTGATGATCTTCATTTATTGGAGAAATGGTGGCGATCTTTAACCTTTGTGCCTGCACAAAAAAAAAAGTGTCAAAAAGATGTTTTTTTTCCCTTGACGCCGATATTATTTTAACTACCTCCACTCCTCAGCAATGTTTATTGTTTTAAAAAAGCGATGATTAGAATTGTAATAAAACCTAAACATGGGGAAAGCGAATGTACACATTTTTTATTTACAACTTTTTAAAAACTAATACATTTGTATTAAAACTAATACAATTCGATATTTATCATTTACCAATTTATAAAGAAATAAATGTGAAAACAATTTTTTATTCATAAATTTATAAACATTTACTAAATTATAAAATAGGTGAACCAACTCTACGGAAATCCTTACTATTTACCATTTTATAAAGTTTGAATCAATAGGCAATTAGCCAATGTTTTACCAACCATTCCAATAATATAATAAATAGTGTAAATAAACTATTTAATAAATGGTGTTTATTTTTTGTTGTCAATTCTCAAGAATAAAGAACATGTATAAATTCATTTTCATCATATGTTTAGGTTTTATTATAAATCTAATCATTGCTTTTGAAAACAAACACTGCTGAGGAGTGAAGGTAGTTAAAATAATAGCAGTGTCTTTTTGAAACAGTTTTTTTTTTTTTTTATGGGCATGAATATTAAAGGTTGCTGAATTGATTTCTAAGAGATGTGTTTAAATGTTGGACTTTGATGTATACATCATTGAACAATTTATTTATCATAAAGAAATTTATTTTTGGTTGTATCTTATGTTTTCATGAAAAACGATAGTCCAAGATTCCTGTAAAGGGGAAATAAATGTTTTCTGTCAAAGGCATTTTTTTTTAATAAGATTTTTTGAATGTTCAGGTTGGCAGACAAAATAAAATACTGTTTAAAATAAATGGCACATCAACTCAAATATAGGTATTCACTAAAAATAACGTTTAAAGTAATGAAAATATGTTGGATTAATAAATAAAATTTTATATACAATGAAACAAATTTTTTTTTTTCTGGGTTCATCTGTCTTGTCAGCTAACAATTAAGACACTTTCATTTTCATTTTTTAAATATAGTCTTTAATAGAATTGCCATCTGAAAAATCAATTTTTTTTTTTTTTTTAAATATAGACTTTAATACAATAGTCAACTGAAAAATAGATTTCCTCTTTGAGTATAGATTTTAGTACAGTTATCGTCTTAAAAATCAATTTTTTTTATTTTTTTCTCCAACATATCGCTTTATAGTTCTATAAAAATAAATTCTTAATGAAATGACAGGGCTATTTCTATGAATGCACAAATTGCATACAGATAAATATAAAATAGCACACAGTGCTGATAGTAAAAAGACATATTTCAAGGTAAAATAAAACAGTTAAAATTTATACAAATATTAAATATACATTTGTTTCTCAACATTTGGTATAACTCTGAGATTCATGCATGCAGCAATTGCCAGGTACAAATTGCATGTGTGTGTGTCTGTGTGTGTATATGTACACAAGTGTGGATGCTAAAATGTTCTTGGCCTGACCAAGAAACTCTTCCAAAAAGCAAAATCATTTGCTTAGATTTTGAACAGTGTATTGGGCTAAAAACTTTCTCATATTTACATACATACAGGAGATGTTTATTCTCTCTCTTTCTTTTCTCTCTATATATATATATATATATATATATATATATATATTCTCAAATAGAATTTGTATAAAATACTCCAAATTACCTTCACTTGACTATGTAAATATTTGAGATTTTAGAAGGCAGAAGAGTTAATCATAGTTAAGCAACAATGGAGGGAGGAGTCAGTGTATTGTAGAAGGGACAAATTGAGATTTAATTTTGAAATCCTCCCACACCCCCAAAAAAAAATTTAAGAGGTTTAAATCCATATATATATATATATATATATATATATATAATTTATTTGAAAATTGTAGTGATTTTATAACATTTATGTTATAATTTTTGAATAAATTATATTTGCTCTACTCTGTATTGAGCACCCTTTTAAGAATAGTATTTCTTGGTTATTGGAATTTATTCCATATATACCAATCCTATATTTATGTGTGTGTGTGTATATATATATAATATAAAATTTTTTTTTTTTTTATCCTGCAATTTTATGTGTATAAGTACACTTTTACACATTAATGTTTACTAATGCTAAATAAGTATGTTGGAATAGTTTAAGGGAATAAAATAAGTGTATTAGTGTCCATGAGAATAAAATGAGATTGCCTGAGAGAGTTTGCATTTGTGTCTTGAAAAGCCATGATTGTTTATATGAGTGTCCGTGTCTTGTCTCTCTGCCTGGACCCCTAAGTATCTATTTAAAAAGACTTGTGTGACCAGATATGAGCTGAATGCATAAAACATAAAAAATATCTCTCCCACCCCCCTCGATTCTGTTACGGCCAAATAAAACCGAGCATTTAATCATACATTCTCTTAAAACACAATTCTTATCAATTGTCCATTGTTCACCAAGTAAAGTAAATCTACTTCCCAAATCCAGTCCTCTACTACCACCACCACCACCAGTCAATGTGACCCCCATCCAGAAATGTATAAATTTATTCATTAAGTTGAATCTATTTTTCAAGCAGAGGCCATATGTCTGATTTTCAGGACCAGTTTTCTTTATGCAATTCCCCACACTATGTCCCCATATTTTTCCCCCTCCATTATTCTACCTATCACCCTCTCCAAATACTTGTTGCATCTTTCTCCTATCCTGTATAAAACCCTTTTTAAAAAATCAAAAAACAAAACAAAAAAAAAATTCCTCCCATGGTTTGAATTGGGAACTAGGGACGTGATGTTCAATTTGGAAACCATTATTTAAACTATTACCTGTAGGTGTATAAATAATCATTGTTTCCTATTACCTGTAGGTGTATAAATACAAAAACTAAATTTTTTTTATGCACAAACTCCAGAAAATCAAAGATGGCTATAAATATAAATAATTTTGAATAATTGAAACAAAAATTAAAATTATTGGAAAGCCAATCCTTTTATGAATAAAAAGACAAGAAGAAAAACTATTCTTAGTCGACGCATTTCATCCATTAGAAGAAGAAACATGTTGGCTAAGAATAGTTTTTTTTTTCCTCATCATTTTATTCCTACAGATACACTTTATCTGAAAATTATTATTTATATATATATATATATATATATATGAAAATATATCTTAGGTTTATATATTATTTTTATAGATACAATTATTTAAGTAAATGCTCTCTTTATAATAGACAGTATTAATTAGATTTATTAGTCTGAATGTCCAAGAAATTTTGTAGAAAATATGTGTCCTCAAATTTAGACTTTGCTAACCAGACACTCTAGCTGAGTGGTATAGCACGTCAGATCAAATGTAATACACAGGTTTGATTCCTGTCAAAGGACATATATTTTCTACAAAATTTCTCAGACATTCCAACTAATAAATGTAATTAATACTGTCTATTATAAACAACATTTACTTAAATAATTGTATCTATAAATATAAAATATAAACAAAAATATATTAAGATAATTGTCGGACAGTTCATTTCACATACATACATATATATATATATATATATATATATATATATATATATAGTGTTTACTAATTTTTATATTGATCTTTTCAAGTTGTCTAATTAGTTTCTTCATATTGAGATGAAATCCATCAAGGAAGGTATCATAGTTTGTTTTTTTTACCCAAGTACTTTTGACTTTTTCTGATATCATTTTCAGCAATAAATTACAAAGACAAACATGGTATTGTAACTGCAATAAATTGAAAGACACACTTAAGCATGGTTTTGTGTAGTTAGGCTAAAAAAAATTTAATTCTGCATTTCATTGTCAGAGTGATTGTTAAACGCATGTAAAAGCATTCTGTTATTTACCACTGAAAATGATCTTAGAAAATGTCGAAAATACTTGGGTTAAAAAAAAAGCTATGGCACCTTCCTTGATAAACACACACACACACACACACACACACACACACATATATATATTAAGAAATGGACAAAGTCCGACAATTTATTTATTAAAGACATTTTTATGTTTAACGTTCTAATAAAAAAAAAGAACGTTAAACATAAAAATGTCTTTATATATATATATATATATATATATAGTGTATCACATATTGACTTTGCATCCTGTAGCATT